TCCTTATCCACATGCTTCACATGCTGCTGCGATGCCTCATTTTGATGCCCGTTGCCATGACCACGAGAATCGTAGTAACCGCCCCTATGGCCCATTACCATGGCTTGCGGTAGAGCGGTCAAGTCGACTGGTTTGAACATCTCCTTATCCACATGCTTCACATGCTGCTGCGATGCCTCATTTTGATGCCCGTTGCCATGACCACGAGAAGCGTAGTAACCGCCACTATGGCCCATTACCATGGCTTGCGGTAGATGGGTAAAGTCGACTGGCTTGGACATCTCCTTATCCACATGCTTCACATGCTGCTGCGATGCCTCATTTTGATGCCCGTTGCCATGACCACGAGAATTGTAGTAACCGCCACTATGGCCCATTACCATGGCTTGCGGTAGATCGGTCAAGTCGACTGGTTTGAACATCTCCTCATCCACATGCTCCACATGCTGCTGCGATGCCTCATTTTGATGCCCGTTGCCATGACGACGAGAATCGTAGGAACCGCCACTATGGCCCATTACCATGGCTTGCGGTAGATCGGTCAAGTCGACTGGTTTGGACATCTCCTCCTCCACATGATCCACATGCTCCACGTCGTCGTCATCGTCGTCGTGGGCTTGGTCGTTTTGGTCGATGCCGGACACGATGGCGCCCGAGTGGATAGCGCCACCTCCGCGGCCGGTCACGATGCCCGACTTGAGGCTGACAGAAAACGGATCGGCGAACAGTTCGGCGAAGAGGGAGTCGAACTTGGACAAGCCGAAAAAGGGCATTCCCGAAAAGATGGCCGACGTTCGTGGACGCGGTCGCGGTCGCGGAGCGCCGAGACTGTCGCGCTCGCCCCAGCCGAGGGCGACGCAGTCGGTGCCCGGTGGCAGACTGAAGTTGGCGTCCGGCAGACAGGCCGGCTGCAGCAGGGCTGTATGTCGGAGGACGCAGGGAAGGTAGGAAGTGGGAAGTGGGAAGTGGGAAGTGGGAAGTGGGAAGTGGGAAGTGGGAAGATGATACCGAGTCGACAAGAGGAACATTGCAGTGTCTGGCCGATGCGTCAATCGGCCCAAATCGCTTCGAGATGCGCCCAGTCTTCGTTTTCGTCCGTCATGACAGACGTCGTCGATTGGTCTTTTTGTCACACAAACGACCAGATTGCTCACAGCTTCACAATTGGGCCTGACTGGGCGATGAGTGCAAGACCTCGTCACACAATCCGACCATTCTTCCGTTCTTGGTCAGGCCAACTTTGGCCTCATTTTCGAGCACAACTTTCAATTTAGCCATGGTTACCACTACTCTGATAGCCAACACGGTGATCAAGGTCTGCTGGTTCAGTTCTCCACCGATCGGATGACAAGGCCTCACTTTTTCCACCAGATTCCACTTTGCATTGCCTACCAAACATGTATTCACACCTCGTCTAAACTGGTCTCACCAACAACCTCAGCAACTTCACACACGTTTAGACCTTTCCCATATCGCATATATGCTGATTGCATTTTTATATTATAATAAACCATACTACTTACATTAATATAAAGTAGGCAAAATGTTAATAATAATTCTTCTCAGTCTAGGTCACACATGTTCACGGAGGCGTCATGTTTCCATCCCATTTCACCTCCAATTTATTGTATGAAAATTCAACCATCAATCCTTCATACCCTCATGCAACTTGGCCTAATTAGAACTAATCGTAAGTAAGTAGGGTTTCAAGACTACCAGTAAATCAGTGTAATGAGATGTATTCACACTATTTCGTGTAAGGTGATGAAGAACTTGTTCTAGAATTTCCCCACAATGATATGAGTTGATCTGACGTTTCCATTCAATTTTACATAGCCTTGCTGTCCCAAAATTAGTTCTTATCCTGGGTGTTGATAAGACCGATGCGAGGTTGAAACTGCAGTCCACTCCGGCCGGGATGAGAACAACTTTTGGCAAAGCAAGGCTATGTGAAATTGAATGGAAACGTCAGCTCAACTCATTTCTTTGTGGGGAAATTCTACTCCAAGTCCTTCATCACCTTACACGAAATTGGGTGAATACATCTCATTACACTAATTAGAACTATTATTTCAGCTTTACGGATAAACTGGAATACCTACTTTATCGGAATATAAGTAGTATGGTCGGTTGTAACAGCGAAACACAAGTTTAGTATATGATTGGCATTCACCCTATTTCGTTTAAGGTGATGAAGGAGTATCAGTTGCATTTTCCCACATTAAGCTTCACATAGTCCACCTTCTATGAAGGTATTCACATCCACACCGGAGTGGACTATAGACACGACCCTACCTGAACTTGTCTTAGCAACAACCCCATCGGGACTAGGGCGTACGGTATGCATCCGTCAACCGCTACGCCAGACTGTCACAAGTGCCCTTTGCTTCAAAGGGCAGATGTGATTTTCAAAGAGCGTTGGATTCCGCAATTTCACAGTACTGTGGTGGAGTAGAAGATGAAGCACAGCTGTATTTCCTGGAGAAATCGACTACACTACTTAATTTCATTTGTAAGTAGGTTATTGATATTACCAATAAATCTCAAGTATGAGTGGTATTCATTATGGTTGATAGAGAAGTCGTTTCAAGTTCTCATTGAGATGTTGATGAGATGAGTCAAGATAAGGTCAAAGCTGTAGTCCTATCCAGTCACGATGTAAGGATAATTAATAAACTGACTTTATAAGAATATACTAAATGGTGACAGATAATGGACATGTCAGTCTAACAACATGGCAATAATGTCTAGCAAATAGAATAAATTGGCAAGTAGTAAACCATTTCGACAAAGATCAGATACTCAGCTTGCTTCCATTTCGAGTGGAAGTGTTGGGGGTGAAGAGATTGGAAGGTCGGTTGCACCAGAAGACCGTCAATTGACGGACATCGTCACAGCGAAATTGAAGCTAACGAGTCGAGAAAACTCCGT